TGTGACATGTTTTCTAGTTAGGTACGTCAGTGCAAATGGCCTCGCCGTTAGCAATGGGTTAGGGTGAAATCTGATGTGAAAAGAGTTAGTTTATTTTTTCTTGTGTTTCTCTCATGTAGAAATAATTGCTTGTGGTTCCACTTTTATGGCAGTAATACAGGACCAGTTTAATTTGATCAGTTAGGAGAATAACTAATAACTATTAACTTCTAAGACTTTCCCAACATACTTCTCTGACAGTTCTTCCTTCCCACAGTTATACATTATTTCAAAGTGTTAAGTAAAAGGTGGCAGCAGTACTGGGCCAAATTCTGTCCTCTGAGAAGAATGCAGACTTTTTCAGTTAATGCAATAGCAGCTTGACAGAATTTGTTAAGGAAAGTAAATGCAAGCATTATTGTATTCAATATTGTATTCAATACAATTCAATATTGTATTCAATACAATATTGCTCCTCCTTTTTTTGTTTTTTTTGTTTGTTTTTTGTTTTGCTATTTGTAGTCAACATAAAACTTTGTTCCTTTATAGTTAAAAAAACAAAACAAAAATGTTTATGTTGTGTCCGTGCCAGGTTTTGCTTTGAGGGGCCATGGATGGCTGCAGTGGGAAAAGGGCTATACTGACAGCAGTTTGACCTGCTGCCTGTTAGTTCTGAACGGCTTTTGACTTTCACTGAAACACATTTTTTCTCCGTTTGCACTTTTCATGGGTTACCCTGACACACAGGTAGATAGATGTAAAACCACCTTTGTGCATGTAAATAGGCCAAATATATAAAGGTGTACCTAGGTAGTCATTCAATAAACAGATAAAAAATGATTTCAAGAAAATTAGTGAAACTTCCTCCTTTGTTGTACCAATTTTAAAAGTCTTTTTTTTTTTAATGTGCTTGTCAGGAGCTCTCTTACAAGCTCTGAGTTGTTCAGCTGCCAGAATCCATTTAAAAGGGTCTGAAATTAGCATCAAATGAGCCACTTTTTGTTTTTCCTGTAGAAAGTCTGTTACTGTGATCAACTTCTTGTCTTGACAGTTGAACCAGTTGCGAAATACTTTTGCACTTAATATTAAGAAATGGAGCAGTGGTAGGGATTTGCCCTCTTCTAGGTACATAAGCTTAGTTTCCCTGAAGTTGCCAGTAGCTCCTGTGCTTCTTAAACAGCAGTTGCATTTAAACGGATGTACCTTTTTCAGTAGGAGAAATGATTTTGTCTCTGTCCCTGCCCTGAACTCTGCAGAACTGATATACTATGTCAAGCACCCTGCTGCCACAGAGCTGATTCACCCCTGTAGAGCAACATTGTGGTTTCAGAGGGTCTCGTGGTCAATGCTACAGTAAGACCGAGCAAATGACTTTTCTAACACTTGATACTTTGGGTTAGAAGATGCTTTTCCTAAGGGCTCCAGCAAAAGATAGCTTGTACTTGGCTTCTGTGCAGCCAAGTATTATTACACGTGTTATTATTGCATATATTTAGCATTGAGATTTCAGTCTTAGTTGTAGCGTGTGTGATCGTAACTGCCTAGAGTAACCAGTGTGCTTTCAGCATATCGACAAAAAAGTCTGGCAAAGCTGTGTGCGCTCTTACTGAGATGTGGGGTCTCCTGACCCTACCAGTCCAAACTCGGCATCAGACCGTGGCCAAACTATTAAATGAGGATGGAAAAGAAAAACCTGGATGAGTTGGAAGACTTTCAAATTTTATTTTTAACAAAGAACATTAAATAAGAAAGTCTTAGTGTAATTTTAAGGCTGCCTTAAACGTACCAAATTGAGAAAAGTCAGAAGGTCTTGTTTCTCTCGACAGTGTTTATTTACTTACATTCCTTCTACCCTGTATCTTACTAGACGGTGTACATCTTTTGCGGCGCAGGCAAAAATAAAATGTCTAGCGGCAGTGTGGCAGGGACAGGGCTTTTGGGAAGAGCTGACTTTTCTGGTTTCTTGGCTTCCATTTATGTTTGTAACCTAAGTTGTTGTAAGGGTTTTGTTCATGTGTATAAAAGTCATAACATGAGATAGCAATAAACATGCACTGAATGATCATTTAGACTTGCCTCGTTCTGCGCGTGGTCTCTTGCTAGGGTGATATTCTTTGTGTGAAAGTGTATGGTCCATGTTTTCTTAACTTGGAAAGCAATAAGGGTAGCACCTGGCTCATCCGATCTATAATTCTGTCCATATCTACACATGTGCCATGGGGAGTATGAGTAAGAGTACTAACTAAAACACTAAAACATGGCTAAAGCATGCATTGAAGAGTTTAATCAGGATGAGTTTGAGCTTTAGCCAGTTTTTTTGCTCCATTGAATTGAGTGTCTCCAAATTTTGAAAATATTTTACTTTACTCCTTTCTGTTAAATTATGCCATATCTTTTGCAATAGCTTAAATTAATTTGATTTATGTAGAAAGGCATGCTGTTACTAAGCGGAAGGCATGGTGGATAAGCTCTGTCTGCTTGGCAGGAGTAACATCCCATCAGCCTAGACTGCGCTTTTAAATGGGTTGGAAGATAAACCAGAGCTTTTCCTGGCACTTTGCTCTCTCAGTTCCCCTTTCCAGTGGCAACAAATAAGTAATATTTTAATTTACCTTGGCCAATATCTATGCAAAGTTTTCTTTATGAACTATATCAGTACAGTTAAAAGATCCTGGGTGGACATACATGCTCAGATGTGTATTTGTGTTGTATCAGCCTACATGCTTCTGCAAAGGAGGGCAACAAAGCAAAAATGGTGACAGGAACACATATGCTATTGCTCTTGTCATGACACTAAGGATTATACCGATTTGATAACTTCAGATGAAGTTGCTTTTGAGCGCACAATTAAAAAAAATCATAGTAGGTTAATCTTTATCCCTTTAGAGAGTGAGAGAGAACACATAAAAAATTGCATAGCAGCCACTAATGACAGTAATTGGGTTTTAAACCTCTTAGTTGTTTGTTGTGAGTTGCAGGATAGCCTCATAGCAGAAGATGCCTCAGATAAAAGATCTTTTATTTTCCTGGCTCTTGTACAGCCAAAGGAATGGATCATTTTCGTTCACCCCCCCATAAATCTAACTTCATATGCTCCTCTACAAGGTAATGGGAACTGGATTTCCAGGGTTCATTCATAACTGCGAGTCCTTAATTAAGGAGGAGTTCAAGGGTGCACTTAAAACGTCAACCTGAGCAAGTAGCTGGCATATGAGAATAAATTCTAATTTTAAATGTAGGAAAAGAGCTGAAAGAGTATTTCCAGGCATCTCTGCTATTATAGTATTTCAACATATGATGTTTGCCTGAGTTTACTTTTAGTTGGGAAGAACCTCCTGTGAGACAGTAGGAAAAACAGACTATCGAGATGGAAGGAGGGTGAATATACACATATGTACACATTCATATTTGCAGAAACGTTCTTAAGCATTTTGCTAGACTGAGCCCTTGTGTTTGCCCCTTTCATGTTTTCTCTGCTTTTCCCGTTATATGAATAGTTTTTGAAGCCCAAAGTACCGTTTTGTGACCGTCAAAGAACTTTTTTTTTTGCTCCAATTCTAGAATAGGGCTTCTTCACCAAGAAGCAGCCCATTGCCTTGCATAAGTATGAAATCGTTCCCTGAAGGAAAAAGATTTGCATCCTGGTTCTCTATTTCTGTACCATGGACATCGTTTACACCTATCTAAGTAAATATAAAAGACAACTACGTTATTTTCTATACTGACGAAAAGCAGTAAAATACTAGCTATTGCAAGAATAACAGATGTAAAGCCAGTAAAGCTTATCAGGTCATAGAAAAGTGACTATAAATATCTTTCTGAAGGTATCTGTTCTTTTAAATAGACTATTGCTTTTCATATTAAGGAATTCAGAACAGAATTCAAACAAAGATTCTCTTCCCATTGGAATAACAAGTCTTAGATTTAAAAAAAATAGGCAATATTCTTACTTCTGCTTTTTAATTTTTTGTATCTGGCTGAAATCTGTTGCTTTCAGTCGGTTTACCATGTACAAATTATTTTAAGGTTTTGTCCTTGGTGCACTAAGGGGAATTTTTACATTAAAATGCAAAACTGACTGTGTAAGCATTTCCATACAACTCTATACATATAAAATAATAAAAACATGAGATTGTATAACTGAGGTACCTTCCGATAGAGGCAATTGATTTTAAAGGGAAACCAAAAAATGTGGGTTGATTCCTGTTAATTATACCTCTCCTTCAAAACAACATGCTAAAGAAAGCCTTGAATAAGTAGTGTTCCTCTTGCTGTTCATATTTGCAAATGAATGAGCTTACTTTTCGAGGGTCTTTAGCTGTTTCCTCCTCACGCCACTCGCTTTGTTTTTTGACAGCATACGGTCATTTTACACGGTAATGTCATGATCACATCTGTAACCTCTTACATATGATGATTATAGTATTTCTCATTGTTGGTTCAGGATCATAGCAATACAGGCAAAGTTGAATTTTGCCCCTCAAGGTTAAGTCTGGAGTCACGGCCGCTGTTACAGCAGGAAGGAAAGGAAGAACAGGTAGAACTGGACTACAGAGAGAAGGGAGGTATTTTGGTAAGGAGAGAGGGAGAAAAAGCCAGGCTGGTTGGTCCAGCTCTTGCTAAGGGCATGTAACGCAAGGGGAATGATGGAACACAGCCTCTACCTTCCTTCCACCGCTACTGTCTGCCCAGCACCAGCAGGGTCTGGCCTATCTGTAAAATTAGAGCTGACTTTCCAGGGCTCTGATTGGGGTATATGAGGGAGTGAAAAATCTGGGTCTCTTTTGCCCCCAGTGATTTGCCTGCTTCCTCTATGGCACATCTGCAGTGTACTTAACAGTGCATTTAACACTGCAGTGGGGCAATGTTGGAGTATCATTCAACGCCATTCACAGGATAATCTTTTTCTTGACATAAACAGCTTCATTAGTAGTAACGATGTTGTGATTTTTTTTTTCAAAACTGAAGTTACTCAAGGTTTTCTCCAGAAGTGTTAGTTACCAGTGATTTACTTTTTGTAGGAGTTCTCTGGAATCTATCTTCCTGTGATGCACTGAAAATGCCAATCATCCAGGATGCCCTCGCAGTGTTGACCAACGCGGTGATCATCCCTCACTCTGGATGGGAAAACTCTCCACTGCAGGATGATCATAAAATACAGCTCCATTCGTCACAGGTGCTGCGCAATGCCACTGGGTGCCTACGGTGAGTATGGCAAAATATTTACTTTGCCTTAATGATCTTGCTTTATCTTGAACTGTTATTTCTCATTCTTAGGCATCTATAAAATAAATAATTTGTGTGTCTGCAAGGAAGATGACTTCTGATGCTGTAGACTTAAAGTTTGAAATTAATTAGAAAAACAAGCTTCAGGCCATTCAGAAGCAATCTCTAGAAGCACTGTTGTGGGTTTTCCTTTTTTCTTAACGGCTTTGACAAATTCCCTCATCAAAGCTTGTGTATTACAGATTTTTTTTTGTTATCTGTCAATATGTACTCACTAATACATCCAATTTAATTAGCACAAAAAGTAACACAAAGATGCTTACACAGAATAACATTGGAATGCCTTGTGGGTTCCAGATGCCGTTGGCAACGGTGTGATAAACAGATAAGGTAGATTTTTCATGCTCTGTGAAGATGAAAAATAGAGTGCAATAAGAAACTAACCAGTTTAAAACTGTGCAACTAGGATACATAAATAGATCTTTAACAAGTATGGTATGTATATATATGCAACTTGACGTATCTGTTCCTAAACGGCACTGGAGAATGAAGAGAGGATGAACAAGAAGCATTTCAGTTTTGACAAAGTCTTAGCAGAGGATTGAATCATAGCAACATCTGAATTCCAATCCGTATCATTTTACTGAAATATTTTAACATATTAGGCAAGTTCTTGTGATGTTGACTCTTTCTCCTTGTATATTGGAGATTCTGTGTAATGAAGATTAATTAATTAGTAGTTATAAATGCATCAAATAAAAGTTGTTAGGTGAATAGCATGCATCAGTAATACAGTTGTATATTGCATCCAAAGCAGAAATCCATCCAATAGAGCTAAGATCCGTTCAAAAAGCATTATCTGGTTAGGAGGGCGAGTAAAATGGGAGTGCTTTTCACCTTTCCGTAATAATCACATTTGTCTCCTTGTCCTGTTGCATCAAATGAAATATCTTCAGAAAAAAAGTAATACTGTTATTGAGTGTTTATATGTGACCAGAAGAGGATAAAATACAGAAGGTAATAACTTCTGTATTGCAATAATGTAGGGCATTTACTAGCATGTATATGACTACATCAGCTATGTGGAGATCTGTGACAGAACATAGGCATTGGTATCTGAGCTATCTTGATTTTGAAAATAATTTTGTAATGTAACTGTGTTGCATTGCATTCGAATCACAAAGAAAAAGAGTTGCTCAGATCACTGTGACAGCAGTGATTCTGTCAAGGTCTGCACCATGTTATCTCATTCACACTGCTGATGTTCAACCTGTCGCAGCTAAAGAGCTGCCTGTGAAAGGAAGGCCCATGACAAGTGTGGGGCTTCACAGCACCCCTTCTCAGAGCGTGCATGTTCAGTGTTCGTCTCCCCTTTTAATTTCTTTCTGATCTCAAACCCTTCTTATTTCCCAGGTGTGTCTTTCTCTTATCTTTAAAGGCTTCAGATATTTATTTGGCCTTCATCCATTTTCTTGAGATAATTTCATCCCACTCAGCTCTGTGTAGCTGCTATGTGGCAGGGACAGGACACATGGAGAGTGTTGAACTTACTTGTGCTTCACCCCAGCAAGAACTTTCTTGTTTACCTTTCCCCAGTTGCTATTGAAATCTGTCTCTCTGAACAAAATGTGAAGTTGTGCAAGGGAGAAAAGTGTAAACTGGTCCCAGGAACAGTGATTGGGTTCTAGCATTATATTCATCTAGGATAATGGGGCTGCAGGCTGGAGGAACCTGTGAAGGTCAGGAAAAAAAGATTAGAAAGCTCTCGTTCTTCCTGGAGCTGATTCGAGTAGCGCGTACCCTGTGCAGTTAGTACATTAGTACACTGTGTCGTTTCTTAAGGATCCCTCTCCCATCAACTTTTAGCAGCTTTCACACTTTCCCCTTATGACTAGATACAAGTCTCTGATTTCCACTTCACGGTCTCGCTGGATGGGGAGATAATGTGAAGCAAGAAGATGTAATGGGTTTGCTGGCAAAGCCATTGCTTTGCTTATCTGATAAATGGAAAGTACATTGCCATCTGCTGTGGGAATATTTGTTCAAAGACTCTCTTTGGTTGCCCTCTCCAGTTTTCTTTTTTCCCTTTTGTTTAAGCTGGTTTGAGAATGGACATTAATATTAGTTGCATCAGGGTTTTGATTCTCTTTTTTTGATTATGCTTAGTATCACAGAAAAAATACTGTTCTTCAAAATATTTGACAAACGTTTCTAAATCTCTGGTGTTGACAGACTTCAGAGATGTCAGTTGGTATAGGATTTAATGCTAACAAATATGCTAGCAAATAAGCGGAGAGGCTTTTTTTAATCTTCTATGCTTTTGTTTTTCTGATACGTTCACTGTTGAAAGCTTTAAATAATAACAGAGAGGCGCTATAATACGATTCCTTTCTATATACAATGATAATAAATAGTTTGCAATGGGAATTACGTAGGAATAGTCAGAGCTTTGTTCTAATTTTTTCACTATACTATATAAGTTATTATTATTTCTACTGCACTTCCCTTTTCTCATTTTTGGTGAGGGTTTCTTATATATTCTCAATTAAAAAATCACTTATTAATGACAATGTTTAGACTTCTTCATTTTATTTGCTTATTCATTAACACTCTTAAGCAAGTTGTTAATGCATTTAAAAAAATATGCTATGTGGGCTCAGTGCTGCAACCCGTCACAGAATAAGGCAGTTAAAACCAATATGAAATCATATGAAAGAGAGCAGCAAGATCAGACCCTTTCTTCCTGTTATTTTCTTCTTTACTGAAATATGTTATTTACAAACTACGCTCTTGCATACTTTGGTGATTTGAAAAAAAGAAAATAGCTTTAATAAAATACTATACTATTTAATATTACATAATTTGAATATTTTAGAATTGTTTAGATCATTCAAAGCTCTAAGCACTGCATTGTACTTGACACTTACAAATTTAATCTTAATATTCATCTTTCACAAAGCATTGCAAGACCTCAAATGTGATATGTATTAGAGTAATTACCCAATTTACTTGCCTCCCCACTGAGGTACCAGTACCTTACCTCATTAAGTTCTGTGAAAGCTGTTCTTTTTTTTTTTTTTTCCTTTTGGATTTCAGCTGAGATGATTGATTTATTTGTGTTTATGAAATACTTTATCTTTGGTTTATAGATTCTGATTCATTTAGACTTAATAGGGAAGGTCAAGTGAAAACTGAATTTTAAGTCCTAGTTATTTACATGAGTGTTTCCAATCCCTAATCTGAAATTTAAAAACCAACCAGAGAGATATTACACAATGTTTTCATAACCTGAAGTGTCAAACTTGCTCACCACAAAACGAGATCTCCTTGTGGAGACCATTCAAAAAAAAAAACCCAAAATCCTTCTATGAGTTTTTGTCCTGATGCGCGGAATAGAAACTGGAGATCTTATTTTTCTATGAGTTTAAGATAAATTGAAGTTAATAGAATTTCATCTGATGATTTTAAGGAATTTTAAGAATTTACTGCTTTAATATTCCAATCTACTTTAAGACTCAAAATAATAAAATGCTGCCTGTCACTCTTTTTCCCATGTTCTATTTAATTTTTCATCATATACTGAAGGTGAGGTGATTTTGAAAATCAAAGACATATTAAAACATATATTTCTTCCCTTCCTCGCCTAAATAAGATTAGAAATTGTATGAGAGAGTGGCTCAAATAGTTTTTATTTATAAAGGCCCCTACCTTTCAAATTTTCACACTTCTTATTTTCACACTCATCAAACCTTTCACAAAATACCAGGAATTATTTCTTTCAAATGAAAAAAATATATAGCAAGCGCTCAGCGTATAAAAGCAAAGGGGGAGAGTGCTTTTAAAACGTGAAATGAACGTAACTGACTCAGTAGTTGGTTTCTGGAAAGATTAACTTTTGGAAAGAACAGATTACCTTGTTATAGTAATTTGTGTTAGCTGTGAAGTCTAAATTTCAAATGTTTTTAGCAGTTTTGCAGACGATCTGTTTCACATTATCAGCTAATGTATTTATCCCACAGTTTTATTTTTCTTCCTGTTCTGTTCTAAGTGTCCAAAGGTTATTGTTTCTTATTCTTAGAAACATCTAGAATCTGTTTAGAATATAATGGGAGCAGCATATAATAAATAGCACAGATTACATTATTCATCATCTGTTCCGTTTCTTAAGAAACAAATGTATATATAGAGAAAGATGAAAGTATCCGTATATATAAATGTGTATATATGGACTGATATAGAAGCTAAAATAAGTTTCTGTCTTTATTGACCCGTGCAAGCTCTGAATATCTTCAGCTGGATAAAAAGGAAGCTGACTCCTTACTGTAGGACCAGCGTGTTTGCTACTAGTTGCTTGATTCTCCTCCCATCAGCAGAGCCATAGCAGTTTTTCCATAAGTTTATCTTGTAGTGGGTGAAGAGATGTTGGGCTGAGCAACCAGTCTCAGTATCTCCCTTGCTTTTTGGGGAGCATGGGAGGTAGTTCTCAAGCTGACATTGCAGTCTTTTGTATCAGATAATAGAAAGTCCATGCTTCAAGTGCTCGTGGAAATAAGAAGTTTGTCAGACTCCAGAGTCAGGTCATAACAGAAGAAACTCCTATTAACTGTATATTTCCACTTGCTCAAAGGAGAGAGGTTTATTATAAGCAGCTCTACACAAGAGGCATGGGTAGGGCCCTCAGGGATGGGACAAGGGAGGCCAAAGCCCATCTAGAGTTTATTCTGGCTACAGATGTCAAGGACAACAGGAAGGGCTTCTGTAAGTACACCAGTAGCAAAAGGAAGACTAGGAGAAATGTGGGCCTGCTGCTGAATGGGGCAGTGGCCCTGGTGACAAAGAATACAGAAAAGGCTGAGGTGCTGAATGCCTTCTTTGCTTCAGTCTTTCCAGATAAGACTGGCCTTCAGAAATCCCAGGCCCTAGAGAGAAAGGAAGACCTTCTCTTGGTGGAGGAGGATCATATTAGGAATCACTTAAGC